GGTCTGGTGCTGGTAAATTCTTTCAGGTTTTGTTTATCTGAGAATGTTCTTGTCTTTTCTTCCCACATAATCTTGCCGGGTACAGTATTCTCAGCTGAAATTGCTTTTCTCTTAACACTTTGAATATATTTTCCCGTTCTTTCCTCGCTCGCATTGTTTCCGATGAGAGATCTGCTGTTAGCCTGATGGGATACCCTTTGTAGGTAACTTGCCGTTTTTCTCTTGCCAGTCTTAGTATCTTGTCTTTGTCTGTGGTTTGGGTCAATCTGGCTATAATGTGTCTTGAGAAGATCTTCTAGGGTTGATTCTATTTGGGATCCTCTGTACTTCTTGGGACTGAATCTTTGAGTGCCTCTCCAGGTTTGGAAAGTTTTCTTGCAGGATTTCATGGAATAGATTATCAATTCCCTTATGAGTTTCTTCACCTTCTGGGATGCCTATTATCTGGATGTTCGGACATTTAATTGTATCTAGTATTTCTCGTATATTATTCTCAAATTTTTGGGCCATTTTCTCAGTCTTCATGGTGGATTTTTCTAAGCCAGTAATTTTCTCTTCTGCATCTGAGATTCTATTTTCTGTGTGCTCTAGTCTGCTTTTAATACTTTCAAGGGAAATTTCGACTTCTTGTATTATAGCCTTCATCTCTAACAGTTCCATCTGATTCTTTTGTAAAGTGTGAAATTCCTCTTTTAGATCTTGCATGAACTTCCTCACCTTCTGGAACTCTTCAACTCCTTTCTCCTTCCTCTTCAGCAGTTCCTTGTCTCTATTCTCTTCCATCTCTGTAAGCTTTGCCATTATGAATGCTCTGAATTCTTTATCAGACATTTCCATGATTTCCACTGCACTATTATCTTTTTCCCTTGGCGGAGAGGTATTTTCCTGCTTCCCCATATTTCTTGTGGTCCTGCAGTGATTTCTAGTCATCTAGTGGATGGTCAGTTTCTTCCAAAACTTGGAAATTCAATCACGTGAATTTTGTATGCTGGAGGCCGATTTATCAGTGGACCTCTTCATTTCTCCATTTCCCCCAAAATGGCTAGATCACAGGAGCCATGGAGCTGTCTCTTGAAGAAGGCCTGTAATGTTGCCTTCCACCTCTCCTGAGTTGGGAGGGGGAGGAGAATTTTAAGCCACCGGGTCCGGGATGCGAACCGTGGTCGACTACATGGGAGTCCAGCGACACAGCCATTATGCTAACTGCTGATCCCATCTCTCATTTATTTCTACTTGATGTTAGCAACTGTTTTTTTTAAAATAATTATTTATTTAGTTTTATTATTATTTTGAAAAATTTTCCTATAGAGTATGTGTGCTCAACAGAGAGAAGAGATGGGGGGGTGGGAGGAGAAAACAAGCTACCAGATCTGGGACTCAAACCACGTTTAGTCATATGGGAATCCAGTGCCTTAAGCCATCTGTTGGCCCCATGTTAGTAACTGCTAGTGAACAATGTTTGATTCCTAGAACTCATATACATATTTATCTCTGTGGAAATAATTTTTAACCATTTTTTCTAGCCATCTTCTATTTTTCTTAAATATCCTCTCTTCTAGGAAAGAGAGAGGATACCACACTCTCTACTACCTAGATTCTACTACACCTTGAGGTGAATGCTGTTGATTTTAAGTTCTTGAAGATAAATAACCATATTTTATTTTGTGCTTGTGGTGTCATTCCAGTGTCTTCGACCCAGTTTTTGAAAACAAATCTTTTCCAACTTGAAGAAAATCAAGATCCTGCACTTATTCTAGAGAAAAATGAAGCTAATCATCTAGGAAGACAAAAAGAATCTAATAAGCAAGGAGGCAGTAACACACAGGGACAGCCAGGGACATTTAGTCTGCAAGGACTACCAGGGTATTCTAACCAGCCAGGGAATTTAAATCAACAAGGAAGGCCAGGAGCTTTGAAACAGTCTGGGATGTCAGGAGCTTGGATTTTGCAAGGAAATTCAGGAGGATCTAACCAAAAAGGAAATCTAGGAGTTTCTAATGAGCAAGGAAAATCAGAATCTTCTAGCCAGCAAGGGAAACCAGGGTCACCAAGCCCACAGGGCAAGCCAGGGTCATCTAGCCAGCAAGGGAAACTGGGATCATCTAACCAGTCAGGGAAACCAGGATCATCTAGTGAACAAGGAAAGCTGATGTCATCTAGCCAGCAAGGGAAACTGGGATCATCTAGTGAGCAAGGGAAACTGGGATCATCTAACCAGCAAGGGAAACTGGAATCATCTAGCCAGCAAAGGAAACTGGGATCATCTAGTGAGCAAAGGAAACTGGGACCATCTAGTCAGCAAGGGAAAATGGGATCATCTAGTGAGCAAGGGAAAATGGGGTCATCTAGTGAGCAAGGGAAACTAGGATCATCTAGCCAGCACGGGAAAATGGGATCATCTAGTGAGCAAGGGAAACTGGGGTCATCTAGCCAGCAAGGGAAAATGGGATCATCTAGTGAGCAAGGGAAAATGGGGTCATCTAGCCAGCAAGGGAAACTAGGATCATTTATCCAGCAAGGAAAAATGGGATCATCTAGTGAGCAAGGGAAAATGGAATCATCTAGTGAGCAAGGGAAAATGGGGTCATCTAGCCAGCAAGGGAAAATGGGATCATCTAGTGAGGAAGGGAAAATGGGGTCATCTAGCCATCAAGAGAAAATGGGGTCATCTAGCCAGCAAGGGAAACTAGGATCATTTATCCAGCAAGGGAAAATGGGATCATCTAGTGAGCAAGGGAAAATGGGGTCATCTAGCCAGCAAGGGAAAATGGGATCATCTAGTGAGCAAGGGAAAATGGGATCATCTAGCCAGTCAGGGAAACCAGGGTCATCCAGTGTGCAAGGAAAGCTGACGTCTTCTAGTCAGCCAGGGAAACTGGGATCATCTAGTGAACAAGGAAAGCCAATGTCATCTAGCCAGCAAGGGAAGCCAATGTCATCTAACCAGCAAGTAAAGCCAGGGTCATCTAGCCAGCAGGAAAAGTCAGAATCATCTAGTCTGGAGGAAAAGTCGAGATCACCTAGCCAGCAAGGGAAACTGGGATCATTTAATGAGCAGGGGAAGTCAATGTCATCTAGCCAGCAAGGGAAACCAATGGCAATTAGACAGCAAGTGAGGCCCATGCCATCTATCCAAATAAAACCAGGGTCATCTAGCCAGCATGGGAAACCAGGATCATCTAGCCAGCAAGGGAATCTAGGGTCCTCCAGTCAGCAAGGGAATCTAGGTTCTTCTAGCCAACAAGGGAATCCAGGGTCTTCTAACCAGCAAGGGAAGTCAGGATTATCTAGCCAACAAAAGAAATCAAGGTCTTTTTACAATAAAAGAGAAAGAAAAACTGTAGACAACCCTTTGAACGGCAATATAATGGAGAATCGGGTTAGTGATAACATCTTTCTCTTTATTTTTCACTCACTTGATCTCAACTATTCTATTTTCCAAGACTATAAATGGTTTAACTCCACATTATACTTGTGACAATTTATGATACTGATTAAGTAGAATGAGAGAAGTGTTAGAGTCAATTATTTCAATAAAACATTTATGTTCATTAATAGGTTCCATGCCCTTTGAGTCCATCTCTCATTCTCCTCTATCATTTTTTACTCAATGGCCTTCTACCCATATTGAACCAACCCAGATTCCCATGAACTGAGTCTACACCACTGCTATGTACAATGTTCATGTCCATTGTCATCTTATTCATAATCTACAAACCACCAAGGTTGTATTTCTAAATCAAATTCTGAGTTGATAATTCAATCTGCTATCTAAAATTTTTCTGTGGTTCCACATTGCTTAGAAGATAAAACCCAAATTTCTAAACATGGAATTTAAAGTTGTTCATGATTGAGTTCCTATATGCCATCTAGCTTTATTTGGTGTCACTGTTGCTCACAGACTATCCATATCATAGTTCTTGGATTTTTCCATTAATAAATTTTTTTAGAAGTTTTTGCTTTAGGGTGCATACACTGTTGAAGAGAGAGAGACAGAGATAGGAGAAAGAATGTGAGAAATCACCCCCCAGAAGGATGGTCATGCTACAATCCCTTCTGCACGCTCCTCCCAGTATCTTGGGAAACATGCATGCACCTGTGTTTCAAGGCACTGGGTCCAGGACTTAGACTGCAGTCAAATATGTGGAGTCCAGCAACATAGTCACTATGATGCCATTTGCTGGTTCCCATAAATTATTTTTAAAAAATTCTTTTTAAAATTTAAATTCCATCACTGTGCATCTCTGTAGCACACAATTTTTTTTCAACACATGCATGTAATCCATGACACTCAAGTCAATGATATTACTATATACATCATTTTCAACAGAGAATTTTATACTCTTTTTCTGTTAAATGTTTCTTCTCTTTGCCCCTCCCACCTATCCTCTATCATCTTAATACTAATGATTTCCTTCATCATAAAATTTAGCTTATTGCTTTGTAATATATTATCTATTTATTTAGCCAGGTCATGAATTCCTAGAAGAAAGTACATTTCTTTTCAAAGCTGTATCCCCAGAACCTAAAATAAGTGAAATATGTAATAGGTTCTCTTGAATTGTATGTTAGATGGATGAATTATTGCCCTATTAAGAATCATATTTACAAAAAGGTGACCATCTATCTGATTAGTATGTCTCCTATATTCCTTTATGAGTCTTGTTATGCTATTGTCTTCCTTGTCAAGTGAGAAATCACCACCCCAGGGAGGGATGGCCATACCATAGTCTGTTCTCCCCCATTCTCTTCTCAGGCTTTTGGGCATGTATGCACATACACCTGGAATAATTTTCAAGCTGCCTGGCCTAGGACTCAAATCACAGTTGGCCATGTGAGAATTCAGCTCTTTAAGCATGCTACCTTTTCAACTTCAAAAACTGTCACTCCTCATAACCCTTTCAGATGAAAGCTAAAATCTTGTTTTCAACGGTTTCAGAATTTAGCAATTCTGCATAATGCTACCTCCTTGTTGTTATTCTTTCAATGTAAAAAGAAGGGGGTCAATTAAATTATGTCTTTGCATTTTTCAGTATGACTCTTTGTTGACTATTGTTTTCCACATAGGAGAAGACTTGTCTCCAAAGAATAAGAGTGAAAGCAGTCTGACTATAGTAAGAGTAAGAGTTTTGAAGTAGATAACTCAGAGTTTGAATCACAGTTTGAACATTTTATCCATTTATGACCTTAGTCTTATCACTTAAACACACTAAGTCTCTATGTTTGCAGCTATAAAATGGGACAATATATTGTTATATGGATTAAATAAAAGTGATAAATAAAGTAAGTGCAGTAAAAAGATTTATTAATAATCAATTAGTAATAAATATTTGCTTTATTATAATATTTATATTAAATTGATTTACCTTATTATCTAATGGTCTTTCACATCACTGTAGGCTGGCAGTACCAGCAGCAAGAACCCAACTGGAAATTCAAAATGTAAATCTGTCTACAAACCTGTCTGTGGTTCTGATGGAAAAACCTACGGTAACAGCTGTATTTTAAATGAAACAAAGAGGTAAGAAGGTTTTGTATTCCTTTTATAGGATGTACTATTTTGGCCCATAGAGATTAAAGAATATTTCTCACCATGTCTCTATAGTTTTTTCTCCGTAGTGGCTTGGCTATTGTAGTCCAAAGGAAACATAAAAAAGAGATTTAGCCATTGAACAATAAATTCAGTCAATTCCTGAAGGAATGTGGTCTATTTGGATATTAAAGTAGTAGCAAATTTAATTTTGAGTCATTCACTTACCAAATATTTATTAATACCCACAATGTACCAGGCAGAGCTCTTTTTGAGAGAAGGATATTTTTGCCATAGGGCTTGTGTGCTTGCCAGAGAGACATAAATAGAAAGTCATTGCCCCCCCAGGGAAGGTGACTATGTCACAATACCTTCTTCACCATTCTCCTCTCAGGATTTTGGGCATGCACAGCACACATGCCCAGTGTGAGTTTCAAGATGCTGAATCCAGGACTTGAATGACAGTTGACCACATGGGAGTCCATCACCTTAGTCACTATGCCATCTACAGGCCCTATACCAGGTGGTAATATAGGAACTGGAGGTAAAATGATGGACACAATACACAGAAATTTCTGCCTTTATGGAGCTTTCATTTTTGCAATAGAAAGCACCAATAAAATATATCAGAGATTTATAAATAAGACTATGAAGCTCACAAATTACCATTATTGCCTACTAAATTATATTTTAATTTTAAATAACAATATTTAAGCTACAACAGTGACATACTATCTATAAGAAATATCACTACAAGGCTGTATAAAATTGTTAGAAAGCAGACATCTCAACTCTCAGAATTTTTGAATGTTCAACTATGAAAGGCAGTGGTGGGGGCCAGTGGATGGCATAGTGGTTAAGACACTGGACATTGCCACATGGCTGACCATGATTCAAGTCCCAGACCTGGTGGCTTGCTTTCTCACCTTTCCTTTCTCTCTCTCTCTCTCTCTCTCTCTCTCTCTCTCTCTCTGTGTGTGTGTGTGTGTGTGTGTGTGTGTGTGTGTCTGGTCAAATTAAAATAAATGAATGAATAAATAAAATTAAAATAAATAATTTAGAAAAGAAAGATAGTAGGAATAAAATAAGAATGGTATCATCTTTGTTTTCAACAATTCTAAATGTGATAAGTTCTTAGTAAATTGTTATTGTAAAAAATAAAAAAAATGTAGAAGTGCCCCCTGTAAAGAATTTGACACCCATTTTCTCATTTTATAAATAAGGCATCTGACCCAGAGATGAGAAGGGATGGTACAAAGTAAACAGAGTCTCTGAGCAGTCAATGAGAATCACTCAAGTCAGACCTAGGCCTGCTTTTTCCCAAGTGATTTTTACATAATTACATTTTCTCTTTATAGTGGTAACACCACTACCTGGTCCTTGATTTCTTTTTTTTTTATTTCTTTTTTATTTACATTTTTAATACATTCAATCACATTATTTAGCGTATAAGGTGATCATTTTAATATGTGAACATTTCTCCCTGGTCAAGTTGATCAAAATATAATAACACTACCTCCCTGTCTCAACAATGCTGTCTTCATATCCCTCCTTCAAATGTTTTTCCCCAGGTCTTACTCCTCCTCACCCACCACATCTGGCATTCACATCCACCTCTTGTGTTTGTACATCCTTTAGCCAATCAGTTTCAGTCATCGAGTGCAGACACTCGGTATATATTAAGTGGGGACATACAATGTCTCTCCTTCATAGCCTGGCTTGCTTCACTCAGCAGTAAATCTTCCATATTCTTCCACTTTCTGTCAAAAGCCAGGGTTTTGTTGTTCTTAATGGTTGAATAGTATTCCATAGAGTATATGTGCCACAGTTTTTCAATCCATTCAGCTGTACAGGGGCATTACCTTATCCTTGATTTCTATCATTTTATTTCCTCAGGTTGAGTGATGGAAAACTGAGTCTGAGCCATGAGGGGAAATGCTAAATATTTTTGTGAACCAAATTACATGGAGCTTCAGAACCCACTTGCATTTTCCAGGGAATTAAACTGTGAGAACAGCATTCATTTTACAGCTCTAATGAACTCTATATTATTTTCAAATTTGTTCTACTGCAAATAAAATCAGTTCCAGAGAAGCTTCTGATTTGTGAAATCGCTTGTTTCCTAAAAGTTCCCAAGCCTTACGAGTGCCTGTGATCTCTCTGTCTCAAGTACCAAAATAGTTATAAATTCTTCTCTCCTTTAGCACTAATACTTCAGGACCCAGATCAGAAATTTGTAAACTCTAATAGATACAAGAATCTCAGAATGGCATGTAAAAGATAAAGACATCCCAATTTGGAAAAATCAATGTTCTGGCACATCTTGGTGCCACTTTGTAATTCCAGTAATAAAAAGAAAATAATACAGGTTTCTGGAGATAGGGAAAAGATAATCTACAAAGGAACAAGAATCAGACTGACAACGGATTTATCATTGGACAACCTGAGACCTAGAAATAAGTAGAGCAGTGTTATGGAAGTTCTGCAGTAAAAAGGCTTTACACCTAGAATCCTATATCTAGTCAATTTGGCATTTGAGGTTAAAAGTAAAACAAATAATTTAAAATGCAGATATTTTTGATGTTGAAGAATTTAAAGATACATTCTTGGGAAAAAATGCTGAAGGTAATTATTTAGTAAACGAGGGTGACTACGAACACATGTGTACAATGTATCTTCTATGATCAACGCACACATTCAAAAATTGACAAGTAAAACCAGAAAGTAAAACACTACGTCTCCATCTAAAGAATGGGAAGGGCAGCTAATGGCATAATTGGGGATGAAGAAAAGGAAAGTTACAGACACTACCTAGATGTTGGTATAAATCTAGAGGGTATATTTTTAAAATTTAATGATAATTACTCTAGCTTAGGAGTCACCTTCCTATGCTACTAGGGATAGGAGGAGTCACATTTTTAATATAACTACACTAGAAAAGGTGAAGGAAAAGTAATAGAGATGTATGGAGAAAAAGATGGCAAGATAAATTAGAAAAATACAAAAGTTTAACACAAAGACACGGGTATTTCATAAATGTTGTCATTTATCATGATGTGAACTTCAAATCTCTATAAAACCTTCCTTTTTTGAATATGTATCAAAGAAAAAGAAAAACTGGGACCAGCAGTTAGGGTAATGGCTATGTTGCTGAACTCTCACGTAGTCGACCGCAGTTCGCGTCCCAGACCCAGTGGCTTGAGACTCAAGCTGGGTGTGTGTGCATGCGTGCCCAAAATCCCAAGAGGAGAATGGAGGAGAAGTGATTGCGGTGTGGCCATACCCTCTGAAGGGTGATTTCTCGCTTTCTATCTCTCTGTCTCTCTCTATCTGTCTGGTGAGCGCACACGCCCTACCCCCCCTAAGAAAAAACCCTCCAAAAAAAAAAAAAAAAAAAGAAAGAAAGAAAGAAAGAAAGAAAGAAAGAAAGAAAGAAAGAAAGAAAAACTAATGTCTGGATATCTGGCAGAGCTAAAGAGATCACAGTTGTAAAACCACATTCTGCATTTTTCTAATGAAGATCATTTCTGGACACTTGATATGAACTTGATTTAAGATTTTTTTTTAAGGAAATACTGATTGGCTTCCTAAGGTTCATGGAATCATATGCAAAGAAAATTCTCTATGTACTCTTTTCTTAAGAGAATGTCCAGGGACCAGCAGTTAGCATAATGGCTTATGTCCCTGGACTCCCAAGCTACCAGCTCCAGGACTCAACCTGGTCAGTCATGTGGGAGTCTAGCACCCTTAACCACCACTCCACCTGCCAGCCCCTCTCTACTCTTTATTTTTTTTATCTTTTACTCTCTGATATTTTTCTTTTAGATTGTTTCCTTTTACCTTATCCTCTTCCCCCTATGCTTTTGCCTCAAATGAGAAAAAGTTCAGAAAACACCAGCAAAAGAAATGATAGTGATTATTCCTTTTAAAACAAACCCCTCTGAAAAAGGGGCATCTAACATGGTAATTGTGCAAAACTGAGTTAAAAGTTTTAATCTCTGGATTTTCAGCCCCAACTAAAGATCTCACTGCATTTGCTAAAGAATTTTAAATAACATTCAAGACTTACGACCCAGGATTTTCATCCTTTCTTTTTTCTTTTCTTTTCTTTTTTTTTTGGAGAGGTTTTTGCTATAGGGCACATGCGCTCGCCAGACAGACAGAGAGAGACAGAGAGACAGGAAAGCGAGAAATCACCCCCCAGGGGGGATGGCCATACCACAATCCCTTCTCCTTCAGTCTCCTCTCGGGATCTTGGGCACGCACGCACACGCGCCCGGCGTGAGTTTTAAGCCACCGGATCCGGGACACGAACCGCGGTCGACTATGTGGGAGTCCAGCGACATAGTCATTATGCTAACTGCTGGTCCCAGGATTTTCATCCTTTTATTAGCTAATCTAATTATTAGTTTGGGGAAGCAGACTAGCAGATTGGAAAAGACTTTCATATTCTATTATAAAGTATATGCAGATGGGAGAAACCAATTCAGAGGATGCTGATTGTCTTTGCACCACTTTGCCACAGGTATTTCCAAAAATTAGAGATTAGGTGAAAGAAAAACAGAATAAGATATGCCCAGATGAAACAATATCTTATGTTTATGTTGGATTTGAGAAAACATTCAAAGAGCATTCAGGGATAATACCTGAAATTTGGGGGAATGGTAGGACTGATGCTTTTTTAAGTTCTAGATTTATGCAAGGCTTATACAATAAATTAGTAACTTTAATAAAAAGGAACAGTGTGGCTTCAGCATCACTGTCCACTAATAATGTTGTCACCCTAGCCCACTAATCATCCCAGATAATCCTCAAGAAAGAAAAGGAAACAACTAAGATAGTGAGTTTGCAATTTAAATCAAGGTAGAGGGTCACAAGGACTTAATTCCTTTCTCCAGAGATTTCAATAGGCAAATAAAATAATAAACTACAATTATTATAAAAAGATAGGATGTATTGGGTGAGTCCCAAGGCCAAGTGGCTACGGGAGTTAGAGACCACATAACTGATCAGAGTTTGAATCTTGGCCCTGGTAGCTTGAAAAACATGCTGGACACATGTATATACATGCCCCAAATCCTGATAGGATGGAAAAATGGAGAAGAGATTGCAGCATGACCACGATCCATGGAGAGTACTTTCTCCTTCTTTCTCTCTCCATCTGTTTCTCTGTGTTTCTATATCTCTCTCTCTCTGGCAAACACATGTACTCCCTGGCAAAAAATATACATAAATAAAATAAGAAAAATATTAAAAAGGACTGCAAGAAACTCAAACAGGTCCATGCACTAAAGAAACAAAAAGCCTCAGAAAAAGACACTGAGAAAAATCAGGAATCAGAATAGAGGTGCCCCCAGGGGATATAGAGTAAATTTCCTTTGCTTCAAACGACGATGTTAGAAGAAATAGAAATATTTAAAAATGAGGAAGGTACTAGAGCACTTGGGAGGTACCAGTGCAACACTATCAGTCCTCAATCCTATCTTAATTAAAACTCTTTTCACTTAGAGTAACAGAAGAGTTCAAATGGCAGAGGATTTTAATCCTCCAATTATGGCCTTTAAATCATACTCCTTTTGATTCAATGCTGTGAATTTGTAAGTCATCATGCTCTCTGTGCAGTAGATAGCACCAGTATACACCTGCTAGGAAGAGATTTTCTCAAGGCACATAATGACAATAACTTATCCTCACAGACAAAGGAGATGATTCTCAGGTTAGGGAACACAATTTAGAATCCTACATGTAATATCGTGCTCATCAAAGTTAGTCAAGACTTTGAAAAGGTAGAATTGGAGCCTTTATTGTCCAGAACATCAGAATCTTTGTGGGAAAATTGGGAGTATTAGAAGAATTAGATCAATAATTCCTATAGAAATAACTATGGATATTTCTAAGTCCTTACCAACCATTAAACAATATCTTCTTGAACTGAGACTTTAACAGGTTAAGTCCATCATTCAGGATTATTTTGATAAAGAACTTGTAATACCTTGCACAAGTCCTTGCAACACACTCATCTTCCTAGAGAGGAAGCCAAATAAAGATGACTGGAGGTTTTCTAAGGGCCATGAATAAAATAATAATCCCTAGACTTCCTGTGGTTTCTATCTACACGCCTTATTATCTATTATTCCCATTCCTGTCAGTCGCTTATCTGTCTTTGATCTATGTGCCTTTTTCAGCATATCTGTAGAACAGAATTAGTCGATATCTTTATGCTTTCACTTGGGGGGAATGCCAGTACAAATGGGTGGTCTTACCCCAGAGTTATAGCAAGAGTCCAGCTTATTTTTCTCAAATATTAAAGGCAGAAGTAGATGATATTGAGTTTCCAATAATTCAGTCTATGGCTAATTTGTTTTTGTGCTCCTCTACCCTGATAAAGTGCAGAGAAGACACCATTCCTGTGTTACAGTGACTGGACACTAGGGGGCACAAAGTGCCAAGGATAAATTAAATTTAGTCAGTTACATACGTCTGACATGTGATTTCTCTGACAGTGCTACTAATAACCATTACGATCTTTCTTATACCAAAACTAAAAGGAAGATTTCTGTGACTAAGAGGTTATTGTAAGAATTGTGTTCCAAGTTATTCATTTATGTCTCAACCTTCATCCAAAAAAAAAAAAAAGGCAAGAAAAAATAAAGAGATAAGAAAAACTAAAACAAACTCAAACAGACCCAATCTGCTGGGAAGAAGAAATGCAACATATAAAATATTTAAAACAAGCTTTCACTAAAATGATTGCATTAGTCATCCATTATAAACTTTCTCTTTTTCTTATATAAAAGAAATGGAAATGCATTAGGAGTACTAACTCAAAAAATATAGTGATAATAACTGACCAATCTGCTATTTTAGCCAACAATTAGGTCCACCAGCAAGAGGACACCTTTCTTGTATGATTGCCGTATCATCTGCCAGCACTTTATGTAAGAATGTTGAAGAACATATTTTAGGATTTCCACTATGTATTGATGCCTTTCCCCCTGTGAAATCTCTCCTAAATTCTCACCTCACGTCACTCAATATTATTCCTCTACTATCTCATCTCTTATGAAGTACTTCTGCTTTCCGCCCTTAACATTATTCTAAAATACTATAACACTCTTACTTTCTATCCTATTTCTTTTTCCGCATGAACAAGAAGAAGGACATTACCACCAACCTGCTAACTAATCCTCCTCTTGGGAAGACTTATAGGAAATTGCCATTGAAAATGAATTGATTTGGTTCATAGATTATTTTTTATCATTGTTTTTTAGAAAGATTTTTGCTATAGGGTGCATGAGAGACAGAGAGACAGAAAGCAGGAAATCACCCCCCAGGGGGGAATGGCCATGCCATAATCCCTTCTCCTCCATTCTCCTCTCAGGATTTTGGGTACACACGCACGCCCAGTGTGAGTTTTAAGCTGCCGGGTCCAGGATTGGAACTGTGGTCATTTACATGGAGTCC